CCCTGAAATTCAGACCCAAAACCCTAAACCCTAAACCCTGAACCCTAAACCCTGAACCCGGAACCCTAAGCCCTAAACCCGGGAGCATAAAACCTAAACCTTAATCCCTAAGCCCTAAACCCTAAACCCACATCCTAAACCCCACACCCTAGGCCCTAAGCCCGGAACCCTAAAACCCTAAAGCCCTAAACCTTAAGACCCTAAACCCTAAACCCAAAACCCTAAGCCCTGGGCCCTAAACCCACATCCCAAACCCCACACCCTAGGCCCTAAACCCAAAACCCTAAACGCTAAACCCTTCCAGGTTCGACGGGCTGGACCCAGCGGCCCTGCCAGCAGAGTGCTCCGAGCAGAGCGAGCATGACTTGAAGCGCATGGGGGTCCCGCGACTAACTTAGGGTGTAGGGTTTAGGATGGTTTTGGGTTTAGGTACGGTTCAGGGTTTGGGTTTGGGGTATAGGGTTTCTGGGATTAGGGTTTAAGTACTAGGGGTTTTGAGGGTTTAGTAATTTGCGACTAACCGGATGGCACTTCGGAAAACTTTCTCAAACTTCCTTTATCGTTCCATAGAGGTAGCTAATCATAAATACTTCTAGGGGCCCCAAAACTACAATGCAGCTAGGCAGGTGTAGAGCTTAAAGGGTTTGGTGTTTTGGGATCTTGGTCTTGGCTCTAAGTCCTGGGTGTCGGTGTAGGGTCTTCAATGGAGGGGGTTTCGGGTTTAGGGTTTCAGGTGTTCGGTGTTGTGTGGGCACATAGGTCTAGAGGGTGTAACGGCTGAGTGGCTAACTGCATTCCGTTAAACGTGTTGAATTTGTTTTTGGATTTGTTGAGTTTCCTCATTAACTGTATGCTATGTACCCCTTTGTGCGTACGTGTGTATATTATATATATATATATACACATATATATATGTATGTACATAGAATACACACACACATGTATGTATGTATGTATGTATGTATGTATGTATGTATGTACGTACGTATGTATGTATGTATGTATGTATGTATGTCACATTTGTTTGAGAATTCTCTGATATAATGTTCGTGAGTCTGCGACAATGCAGTTTTTATCCATCAGCAGAAGCGCTGCCACAGCGAGTATACAGGTCGGCACAGCGGAAGCTGTATGGCACGCGTTGCATTTATGAGGCAGAAGCCTGTGCAGCATACGTAATTACTATACAAGCGCCGCTCTGTGCATGCATGCTCGTCTGTACTGAACGTGTTTCTTTTCCTGTACACTCATAAAACCGACCTACCTGCACGGATGCATACGTGCATACATGCAAGCCGCACATCCATTCATCCATCCATCCATCCAGCCAGCCATCCATCCATCCATGCATACACAC